GTGATCAGTCAGAAGCTCATTGGCAAAGCTGGGAATAGAAGCTGAATTCACGTGTCTTGTAGTTCCACAGCAGTGCACTATCCACTGTGCCACACTGGCTCGCAAATGCCTTAATTTATGACCCTGCTTATTTCCCTCCAAATTGCAGTAGAAAAGGCTTGTTTGCTCATCTACTCCATTTCCCAGGCAGTGCAGATGTAGGGGAGGGGCGGTGAAAGGTTGTTCCATATGGAGTATTTCTCAACAATTAGTCTAGCCTCATTCTAAGTGACTCAAGAACACTCTAGATGAATTAGTGGGATAAACCATTATTCCTCTGCACCTGCATGAATGAAATCTGGAGAGCTGACAATTAACCCAGCCAATACAGAGATGAATGGCGGTAGCCTGCGTCCTCACCAAGTGGGTAACCAACTGGGTCCAGTCTTTGATAGAGCAAACTAATGATAAGCCTATTTCTACTACAAAGAGCAGACTTAATTGATTGATGGGCTGTATATGTAGGGGATTGCCAGCAAAACGAGGGATGTGATCATTCCCCTCTATTCAACATTGGTGAGGTTCCATCTGGAGTACTGTGTCCAGTTTTGGGCCCCACACTATAAGAAGGATGTGGAAAAATTGGAAAGACTCCAGTAGAGGGCAACAAAAATGATTAGGGGGCTGGAGCACATGACTTATGAGGAGCGGCTGAGGGAACTGGGATTATTTAGTCTGCAGAAGAGAAGAATGAGGGGGGATTTGATAGCTGCTTTCAACTACCTGAAAGGGGGTTCCAAAGAGGATGGCTCTAGACTCTTCTTAGTGGTACCAGATGACAGAACAAGGAGTAATGGTCTCAAGTTGCAGTAGGGGAGGTTTAGTTTGGATATTAGGAAAAACTTTTTCACTAGGAGGGTGGTGAAGCACTGGAATGGGTTACCTAGGGAGGTGGTGGAATCTCCTTCCTTAGAGGCTTTTAAGATCAGGCTTGACAAAGCCCTGGCTGGGATGATTTAGTTGGTGATTGGTCCTGCTTTGAGCAGGGGGTTGGACTAGATGACCTCCTGAGGTCCCTTCCAACCCTGATATTCTATTCTATGGCATCCCTCCATCTAGGGTTGAACACACTGTGTGTCTGCATTTAGCACATTCACAGCCAAGACTCAAAACAGGATTGGATGTAGGCCAACGCAGCAAAATTCAGAGCCACATCCATACTTCACACCCCACGGAGGTCTGGGGTATGGGTTTAGCTCTTTGTAGGCAGAGGGTGCTGATGTGAACTTCGGAACCAAGTCTGAAATCAGAACTCCTCTCCGAAATTAGGCATGGGAGGATAGCCTGGGGGTTAGGACATTCGCCTTTGAATTGGGAGACCTGCTTTCCAGTCCCTGCTCTGTCCCAGACTTCCTGTGTGACCTTGGGCAAGTTACTTAGCCTGCCTGGGCCGGAGCTCCCCACTTGTAAAGTGGAGATGGAGTCCTGCTCTATCTCACAGGGGTGTTGTGAGACTAAAATGTACGAAAGATTGTGAGATGCTCAGATACTACAATATAATTGCCTTAGCTATCTAGATAGAAATAGCTGGCATTTGGACCAGATCCATCTCTAAGCAGAATGTCAGGTGAGCTAATAAGGAGTCTTCAGGGGGCCAGCAGCATGCGTGTCACCTGGGACTGATTCTTGCCATGTCTTGTTTGAGGCTCTGTCACCCTTCATTTAAGCAGAGGGGTTCCAGCGGCAGCTGCCAGAAAATCCATGTCAGCAAGTCTTCCTTGCAGTCATGCTGGTGGGGGGAACTAGCGAGAAGGGGGAGGTGACCTGCAGTCTGCCAGTGTGTTACACTGACACCTGCTTATAGTGCCACATTCACGTCTGACTTTACTTCACCTCTGGCCCATTCGATTCTGTAAAATAATCCTAATAAATCCCGAGCAAAAGGCGGACCATTAGTTGGCCGTGTCCCTGTTTGTTAAAGTTGTGCCAACAAATGATCCATTAGCCCAATTAGTTAGTTAGCAGCTCTGACAGGGCAAAGTTTTACAGTTTCCTTTTTGGGGGCGGGGGGAAGGCTCGCACACTTTGTGGGTTTTATGCTAAACGCCCTCAGACACTGATATTTTCTAAAGCAACTTAGTACAAACTTTAGCTGAACAAATAGTTATTGTCAGACAATGGGACCCTCAAGGCACAGAACCCTGGGTCAAGTATTTGCACCTGCAGCCTGAAAGATAACAACAGATGTCTACCAAGCTGCACAAAGAGTAGCAGGCATAATTAGGATTAATTAGGGCATGAATGGCCATATAGTGTTTTGATGAGATCATTGCTATGTATTAGAATTTGTTCATTATTTCAGATTGGATTAAACTCAGACAGGGTCTCAACAGGCCTAGGCATTATTAATATTACCATTAATTAGCATGATTATTATTTGTATTACCAAAGCACTTAGAGGCATTAAGTATGGACCATTGTGTCAGGTGCTGTACAAACATAAAACAAACCAAAAAAGCAGTCCCTGCTCCAAAGAGCTTACAGTCTCTTAAATCCCCAACATAGGGTATAAGTGGTGTATTGGTCTTGTATATGTATATGGAGAGAGATGTTTTTGTGGACTTAAACAAAGTTCCTCATACACTGGGTGCTTATTGTTTTAGGAATAGGGAGAGACTCTGCTAAAAGAAACAATAATCATGCTGACTCATCCCTGTCAGTATTTTCAACGAAACATGTTCAAAAATCATAAGATTGGATTTAAAAAATCCTGTGATTTAAAGAAATTGGGATTCTTTTTCTTTGCCTTCTGTTTTTTGTGCCTTGAGGGTGCACTCGGGTCACATTTTCAAACTTTTCTCCACCACTATACGAGCTAGACACTTCATTTTTATTGAAAGCAGAGATTTTGAAAGCTGAAAATCTTGATTCGCGCAACTGGGGGTTTAAGAAAATCACTAAATATTGTGAGACTCACAATACAATTGTGAGAGTTGGCACTGCTGTTCAGGATCTGGCCGTGATTTGGAAAAATAGAAGAGACGAATATCAGAAACATCCTGCTGTTTTTCCTCCCTTTATGTCATATTTGTAAAAATAGCTTATTGTGTGGGTCAATTCACATTTGTTTCCCCAACACAGTCTCCTTGGAAGAAATGAGTGTTTCACCACATGCTCCATCACTCCAACAACTCAGGGCAAAACAAATAAATATGGCCGATAAATGTTTGTAACCTTTGGAAATCACGTAAGAAATGGACTGCAATGGTTGCAATTTAAATGCTGTTATAGCAGAGACACGGCATAGTTTACAATATACTCGACATTTTTCGATTTAAAAAGCAAAGTCTATAAATAACCTCATACACACAAATACAGCAGAGAAACAGTCGAGCTGGGGCATTACAATTGATAAAACAGAATCTTAACTTGCAACAAGAGGTAGCCTTTAAAGGTAAAAGTGGAATCTCATTTAAAGTATGGGGAAAAAATCGAAGGCCAATAAAATTTAACTAACACCAGCACATGATTATTTCAAGATCCAGCTGCTATTCCTTGCCCTCTCTCTCCTGATATCCTTGCAAACCTGCATTAAATACGACACCATTTTAAAAAACAATTAGGTTAAATGGTGTAGGAAATAAAATAAAGAATAAAGCATAAAGAATCATAGGACTGGAAGGGACCTCGAGAGGTCATCTAGTCCAGTCCCCTGGACTCATGGCAGGACTAAGTATTATCTAGGTTTCAGAGTAGCAGCCGTGTTAGTCTGTATCCGCAAAAAGAAGAACAGGAGTACTTGTGGCACCTTAGAGACGTCTCTAAGGTGCCACAAGTACTCCTGTTCTTCTTTT